CCAGAGAATATTATTTTAGACCCCTCATCAAGCTCTTCGTGTGTATTTTAAATAGTAACTCCTGATTATCAGTTTAACCTTAACTGTCAAGTCAGCCAAGACCTTTTACTCACTGCTCTCCACTCCCAATATATCATTTTCCCTACTTTCTTACACAAGCAGTTCGCTTTTCCGTACAATATCCATAATGACTCATAATTAAACACTCTTTTATACTTTCATCTGCTTATTGTTTTACCTCCAACTGGGCAATAATCTCTTTGAGAACTGAGAACCATCCTTGCTTCATTCAAATCTATACCAATGACTCTATCCTAATAGGAATTTATTATTTGATAAGCAATGAATTAAAGAATTAACAAAAGGCTGATCACATTTTCTTACTTATCCATTCCTTAGTACTTTCAGACTATTTTTCAGTGTTTTCTGAGAGGAAGAAGTGAAAGAGCTCCCTTTCATTGCTGTCTGATATCCTGATGTATCTCTGGTCAGTTATCTCTCTAAAGTACATAGGTTCTGTTCAAAGTGCTTAAAAAAAAGAAAAGAAAAAGAAAATAACAAGGAATACAACAAGACTGATAATAGAGCCCTGTAATTAATGTATCGATGTAATGTGTACAGGGGTGAAAGAAGTGTCTCTTCACCAGTTAGCTCCTTCTTTTACTTTTTAGCAACTTCTTGCATGAATTTGATGTCTTCCATTAAACTAGATATAGACATTTGGATCACCCCTGAGGTATGTCTCAAAATTCTAGCACAGGTAATTACCATAAGCATACCCAACCTATTCCTTTTCATTGAGAGGATTTTTTCTTCTCACATCAGTAAAACAATATTCCCACTGTTTGCTGAGCAGCTCCACCCCCACACTGATCTGCCCAACAGATTTTAAAAGTAGTGACTTCATCCTTTTTATATGTTCTTTTCAAAAGAAACAAAAGCTCTGAGGTTAAAAAAAAGAAAGAAAAAAATGTTAGAATATGTGGCATTTTTTGTTTGCTATAAATTACTGGATGAAAAACACGACAAGATAAATTTCCTTTATAAGGAAAGAGAAAAATTACACAAAAGTATAAATAAATTATTTCCCAAGGGGAAAACTTCTTTTAAACCTTATATATAAGCCCTCTGTCAAATGTAAGATCTCTCTCTCTTCTTTCATGTCACCTTTTATTAGAAGAATTTTAATTTGTAGAAAGCATACTGCACCCATATTCACTAATGCAGATCATTAAAATCAGGAAGTTTATTTATAAAACAAAGGGGGACAACAGAGGGTGATTTTAAAGACAAAAGTGTATAGCACTGTTGCAGGCACAAAGAAAGCTTATGCAACTTTGTTGGGTTGTGGTTGTTTTAAGAAAGAAAACACTATGATAAGTCTTCCTGTGGCTTAACAGTTTGTTAAGCAAATCTAAAAGCTATGTTGGGCTAAGTAGAGAGACCCCATCTTCCAATGTCAATAAGACTCCGAGTAAAATAGCAGGATCTCCAAACTTTCCTGTTAGAAGTTCTGTATTGGATGTCTAGTATTCTACAGCGTAATAGGGTAACCAGGGTTGACAAGTACAGTAACTGAGTATCTCATAAAAGCAAGTAAAATTTTGAATATTTGCAACAAAACAAAACAATAAATTTGTGAGGTGGTTAATATGCCAAACCTGATCTGGTCATTATATATTTTTATTGAAATGTTACATTATACTTTATAAATAAATACAATTATGTATTGATTCAAAATTTAAATGTTTAAAATTAAAATTAAAAAACGTTCTACAATAGCTCATTGAAAAATACAAATAAATAGGCTAATGTATCCTCTCAAAAGAAGATGTAACAGGTTCTTGAGAACATGTTTCTTTCTTTTGGATATATGTATTCTACTTAACTCTGTTTATTCTATAAGTGAATAGCTAACCTCAAAACAAATCTGTTTTTTTTAAAATAGTCGGAAGTTGCTAACTATACCTATATTTAAAATTAAAAGAGAAATTTAAGTTTTTAAAATTAGAAAAGGCCAAAAAATCCATTTTATTTAAGAATAAAGAGGGAAAATATTCTGCAAAGATATGTTTGGTCTTTGAATTTCTGCAAATTCCTTCATAAAAACAGAGTATAAGAAGGATATCAAAACCAGAAATCTGTAGGCAATATCTATCACAAAACCAGCGTCAGTGGGCAGGGAAAAAGCACCAGCACCTATAGATCCATACTGCAGCAAAAAGGAGGAAACCAACCTCACTAGAATTGCCACAGATAATGAGGTATGTTCTGATTAATTTAGCAGGCAAGTCTGGAAACAGCAGATACTATGAGGGGCCTCTACAGGTAAATACAAAAGAGTAACATGAAGGTTGTCATCTTGCTAGGGATATCGGGAGACTGGGCCTAAAGAACACTGACAACTAATAGATGGAAGCACTTTTGTGGAAGAAAGCACCAACCTGAAGGGTCTAGATTGGCAAAGAAAGGGAGGCTGGGAATAAAAGAAAAGAGAATGCCCAGGCATAGCAGGAGGGCAACAGAGTTGAGAATTCAGAAAGAACATGGACTTAGCTTTCAGCTTTTTGTGAAAATAAAGGAGGAATATCACACTGTTAATCTACAAAGATTATTTTGACCCACACCTTTCTCCTACAAGGAGATATTATCTTTCTTTAAAAGTTGTACCAATAGAGAATTTCAAACAAGTCTCACAAAATTTTAATATATGAAATAAAGAGCAAAGGGATGTTCCCACAAGTGATGTATGTGCATCAGAAAGAACTACATATGAAAATGAATACAGAGAAAAATGAAATATTACACTGAATAAGCTAAATGAATTTTAAGTAGAACTGGAATAACTGAGAAACAAAAACAGAAATAATTCACTGATCACAAAACTTAAGACTAAAATAAAAGGAATACAAAAGTGAAAAAACATACCTTTTTAAAATGCAAAGAAACAGAGATACAAAGAAAACTCTGAAATTTTAAAAAGACATTAAAAACTTCCAAGAGAAAATAATAGCTATAGAAGATTGGCAAAGAACATATAACCCTCATCCATCAGCAATCTCCAAAGAAGAAAAAAAAAGTAAAAAATACTAAAAAGAAAAAAAGTACTAAGAACTTTCATTAAAGACTTCAAACTACACAATAAAAGAAAACATTATATAACAAGAAATATCACTTCCAATGGCTAACATGAAAAGAATTTTAATAAAACAAAAAGACAAAGGAAAAATTATTTGGGTAAGCAGGCAAGAACACTAAGGTAGTCATAAGAAAGACAAACCAGATTTTCATCACATTTGATCAAAATATAAGAAGGCTGCATATTTAAGATGCTCAAGGAAAAAAAATCCAGGTATTTTGTGTTCTTTTATTTTTAATCTAAGTAAAATCACCTTAAAGATTTTGAGCCAGGGAATAATTTTATTGACATGGAAATGGAACACTGCTTCTTGAGCCCTCTGTAGATAATCTGTTAGAGGACTAGTTTTAGACAGCTAAAATGATTTCTAGGGTTATCAAAAGATGGGTTTATGGTGAGTATTAAATATGTATTTGCCTATATAACAAAGAATAAGTACTTTGAATATATTCTGTTCACCCCTACCACCTTTACAGACTATGAGGTGTGATTAAAACATGAGGTGAATGTTTAAATTTGAAAAGAATTATTCTAGTAAAAAAGAAAACAATGCCATAAATTCCCCTCAAAATGTTGTCCCTTGCTTCCAAAGCACTTATCCCATCCTTTTTGCCACCTTCTGAAGTAGTTCTGGAAGGTCCTCTTTTGGAGGTGTCATGGCTGCCTCAGTGTCCTGAAAAGATTAAAACACACTTACCTTGCACTGTCATTCTGATTTTGGAGAAGAGCCAGAAGTGACCCAATGCCAGATCTGGTGAATAAGTTCCATGAGGTCACACTATAATATTTATACAAGCCGGTCTGTTGTATGATGGCACTCAGTAGCATCATTGCATTTTTGTTCCCATCTCCTAAAAACACTTATGAAAGAGGACTTCCAGAACTGCATCAGAAAGTGGCAAGAATAAGTGTGTTCAAAGCAAGGATAAGTGTTTTGAGTGGGTAGTATCTTTTACTGTAATAATATTTTTAAACTTATTCAACTTATGTTTTGATAATACCTCATGAATGTTTTAATATATTCAATTTATAGATAAAGAAATTAAGCAAAGTAAGTGACAGCCAAGTACAGTCTAATATCAGTGCCAGTGCTTTCTAACTGTGATGTCATAAAATGGCATAGTTAACTAAAATGATTTTTCTTCTGTTTTGACTAGAAATGTATATCACGTACATTACAAAGTACTATTACAAATGTACAGAATATGTTGATCCTATTCTGATAAATTTGACATTTTAATTAAAGCAGAAAAATTAAAATGCATTAAGGAACCAAAATACTTCAAAACTCAAAATAGTCATAAAAGTTATGGAAGTTTTAGTGGCAAAAGTTGTAAAATAGTTCCCGTGGATACCCTCACACATACTGCTTCTTCTATTTTCCTAGCCTTACTATTAGGAGTTTAACTAAGGAGTTAACTAATTAAAAAAAAAAATTGCATACACTTACTTTCTCAATATCCTGATTTTCCTATCTTTTGTCACCATCTGTATTTCTTTATTCCCACCCATCTTCTTAATCTCGCTCTTGTTTCATACAATCAATACAATTTGCTAAACCCCTAGCATGTGGTCAATCCCAGGGTGGCACTCGAGAAAAGTCTGGACCTTTGCTTGGAAGCAAAAGCATCAAGCAGAGGTTTCTACAGGAATTCACACAAGGATCAAAAAAAGTCTGCAGAGGAATTGAAAAGAGGCTGAAGTTCATTTCAAGTCCTAAATGTTAAAGACCAGAAGATCTCATCAAGGGAAAATTATAGCATTGAATTCAGTTTTCTTGACTTCTTCAGGGAAGATATCTTTATCTGCAAGAGTTTTGGGAAATCAAGTTAAGTCTATCAAACTTAGTCTGAATACTTACGTGTAATTCATTTTTTAGCACTGCTTCAAGAAGATGACCTACATGTTCTTTTTCTTCTTTCATATCCATAACTATGCAAATCTCTTGTGAAATTCTCTCTGAAATTAAAAAGAAAAAAGTTAAAATTTAGCATTGAAAAAAAAGTACAGAATAAATCCCTACTTGCTGAAACCTAAGCTCAACTGCTTTCTATAGCCCTTGGCCACAACCAGGGAGGTTTGGGTTTCAGACCAAGTAGAGTGACCTATACTACATACTAAGGTGTCTTTGAATCCTTTATCACACAAGGCAATAAACCTCTGCATTAAACATGATGTGTGTGGGTGTCCAGCCATCATACAACCAACAGAAGTAAGAGATCTTACTTTGAATTTGACAGGAAATGACTGGCAGTGACAACCATTTGGCTTAGCACTTCAATGCATCTATATATATAAAGAGTCTCCCAGAATCTGAGAGATTCTCACCTTTCAGACAGTTCACTCTGAGCTAAAAGCTATATCTCCAGTGCAAAAATGCCAGGCAAAGTCCAGCACTTTCCTTTGCACTCCTCTAGATTTCCAATTCAATACAACTAAGTCCCTGTTTGAACTCTTACTTAATAATGTAATAGTTTGATTTTCCTCAAATTTGGTAGGTTGAGCTGGCTAGACATAAAAATACAAATTGTATAACAGCAATATATACTGCGGAAATCATTTTCCTAAAAGATGCACAGTCCCCCTCTACAGCAAACAAATCTGAGGGAGGTTTATAGCTGCCAGTTAAGGAGACATTCTATAGTATGTCAGGGAGAAAGGAAACAAAGCTTAATTCCAAAGAAGAATCAACAGTTTGTCCAATGAATATTTGACCCAAACTGCTTCTTATATGAGTAAATTTATGAAATGTGTTCTGTATAACCACTGACCAAGTAAAAATGATTTTTGCAAAGATGAGGCAAGCAGCTAAAATAATATCGCCAGTTAACAGATTCCTCTATTACGATCACACACTTATCAAAAAGGGCAGGGAAGGAAAGGAATTAAGACATGTTATGTGCATGTACCAACTTCCCACAAGGAATGTAAACATTATGTGCTGCAAACAAGTACTAATAAAGAAAAGTATCTGAAAAAAATACTCTATGTTCCTGGGGGTACATGATATAATGACCCTACAGGAACAATATTATTATGTGTCTATGAACAAATTCTGGAAACTTGATTTCGGAGAAATGAAGTAACTTGTCAAAGTTTACAGTAGTTCACAAAGTTCTGAGTAGTAGAAAAAGGATTCATATTCCAAGAAATGTTTACAGATACATACACAGCTATTCTACGGGACTAAAATGAGAGCAGAAGAAATTACTTATGCCATTCTTGCATGCTTTCTCCTCATTCATTTGAAAACTGAAAGAAAAATAACCAAGCATTTATATTGCCAGTGTCAGCTGTATTATTGTACAACTAGATTATAAGAAATATATTCATTAAAATATTCTGACATATGAAACTAATCGTTATATTAAAATATTATTTGCACCTGCCTCCAATTAGAAAAGGCAAGAATTAATTGTCAGTGGCTATCATCGGTAGGGTGTCATCTGATAAAAAATGTACACCATCTCTGTTCTTGCTTAAAAAGCAGAATCCTAATCTGATCAAGCTCCAGGCTCCAGCAGCTACTTTATACAAGGCAAAGAAATACAGAACAACACAGTTAGTGAATATGTACTCAAGATTTAAAAAGAGCACATACTGGCCAAATGCACTAGGTTTAACAAAATAAAAATTGTAAGAAAAATAAAGGTTAGTGAAACGAGGTTAAAGGGTCATTCATTTTAAACATATATTTATTGATGCCTATTAATTTTACAAAATGCTGGATTTCAGTGCATATGTTCATTATATTCATTCTGTCATTGCCCACCATTATACATCCCTATTATTCCCTTCTATTTGCCTAAAAATACTCTCTCCTCTACTTTCATGTCATCTTCTTTAGATTCTACATATTAGGAAGAAAATATACTTGTCTGACTGGCTTATTTCACCTAAAGTGATGATCTCCAATTCCAACCATTTTCCTGTAAATGACAAAATCATTTTTTACAGCTGAATAATAACCCATCGTTGTGTAATATACCAAATTTCCTTGTTCATTCTTCTGTAGATGGGCACCTAGGCTAGTTCTGTATCTTGCTATTGTAAATTGTGCCACATAAATATGGGCATGAAGGTAACCTTGTAATATGTTGTAATATGGCTTTAATTCTGTTGGCTACATACCAAAAAGTGGCAAAGGTAGATTAAATGGTAGTTCTCTCTATAGATACATATTTTTTTTTTGAGGAATCTCCTCCTATTTCCTGTGGCAAAGGTAGATTAAATGGTAGTTCTCTCTATAGATACATATTTTTTTTTTGAGGAATCTCCATTCCTATTTCCATACAGGCTATACTAATTTACATTCCTATCAGCAGTGTAGCAGGGTTGTTTCTGCTTTCTCACCACCACTTAATGTTTTCTATATTGATGACAGCCGTTCTGACTGTGGTCAATGCAATCTCATTATTCTTATTTGTATTTCCTTAATGGTAAAAGATGTTAAATGTTTTTTCACATACTTATTGGCTACTTGTTTTATTTTTTTTTTTTTTTTAGAAATGTTGGCTCGGTTCTTTGGATCATTTATTGATTGGACTATTTGATTTTGGGGCTTTTTTTTTTTGTTGTGATTGTTCCCATATTGTCCTATCTTCTTCAGTTTCTTTTTCCAACCTTCTCTGATTTAAATGTAGAAGTCTTTTACCTTCTACTTAACTTGATCCCTAAATATTTTTGAATTTTTTGAGGCTATTCTGAATAAAACTGTTTCCCTGATTTGTCACCTACTTGCTTCTTTTTTTGGTGCATAGAAAAGCTTTTAATTATTTAAATGTTTATGTGCATCCTGCCATTTTGCTGAATTACTTTTTAAGGCCTTTTGGTAGAATCTTTAGAGCTTTCTCAGTATCTCATCTACAAATAATATAACTTTAATTTTTTCTTGTTTTTCTTCTGTTTCCTCTTTCCTAATTGCTCTAGCTAAAATATTAAGCTCTTTATTGAATAGGATGGGTGGGAGTGGACATCACTGCCTGATCTTGAGGAAATATTTTCAATTTTTCTTCACACAGAATGATGCTGCCTGTGAGTCTATTATATATAGCCTGTAGTATTTTGAGTTATGATCATTCAATATCTAGTTTTTTCAGGGCTTTTATCATGAAGGGATGTTGAATTTTGCCAAAGGTTTTTTTCTGTGTCAACTGAGATGTTTATGTATGTAGGAACCTGCCTATGAGTTTATCCTGATTGAGGGGACCAATGAGGATGAATGACAAAATACACAAAGACAATGTGGAATGAGGGGGTCAGGGGCTCTTTGCTGCTAATGGACAAAGAGACTTGAGCATTTGGCTTACCTCGTTTTTTAGTCACATAGACACCAAAGAAAGCAAAGTTAAGAGGTTTCATCCGCCTCTCATTATCTATAGCACTTACCCAGGTAAACATTCAGATATCAGCTGTATTGACTCTTCACTGGAACTTGCAACGTGCTAGCTTGTGTACATGTTACAAAAGGAGGCACAGCTTGCTGTTCCTCTCTTCTGTGCTTACAGAGGTCAATTAGGCCTCAATCCTCATTATCTGTCCCCTGCAATGTAATTTTTATCATTGATTCAATTTATACAGTGTATTACATTTGTTGACTTGAATGTGTTCAAAGTCTTGCAACCCTGAAATAAAAGTAATTTGATCACAATGCGTGATCTTTTTTAATGTATTGTTAAATTTAATTTGCAAGCATTTTATTAAGGATTTTTGCATCTATGTTTATTAAAGATATTGGCCTATAGATCTGTAATTGTTGTTGCTGTGTCCTTGTCTATTGTTGGTATCAGGGTAATGCCGGCCTTGCAGAATGAGTTTGGAAGCATCCCTTCCTTTTCTATTTCATGTAATAGTATGAGAGCCTTTAGCAGTAAACCCATTTGTTGGGAAACTTTATTATTGCTTCACTCTCATTATTTCTTATTGATCTGTTCAAATTTTATAGGTCATTATGTCCAGAAATTTGTCTATTTCTTCTGTTTTCCAAGTTACTAGAATATAGGTTTTTAAAATATTCATTCATGATCCTCTAGATTTCAGTGATGTCTGTTTTAACAGCCCCTTTTTGATCTCTAATTGTAATTTGGTTTTTCTCTTTTTGCTTTGGTTAGTGTGGTTGTGGGTTTAGTAATTTTATTTATTTTTTAAAATAACCAGTTCTTTGCTGCACTGATCCTGTGTATTATTACTTTAGTCTGACCTAAAGTATAATCTACTTTGGAGATCACTGAATGAGCTGCTGAAATGACTGTGTATTCTGCAGTTGTTCAACAGAATATTCTGCAGATGTCCATATGTTCTAGGGTGTAGTATAACTCTGAATTTTCTGTTCATTTTTTATCTGGATGACTGGTCTGTTGGTAAGAGTAGGGTACTGGAGTCTCCAACTCTTGCTATATTGGAACTTACTGCCACTTTATTTTGAGTATTAACTGTTTTATGAAATTGAGTGCACCAAATTCTGATGCATATATATTTACAATTATTATATCTTCTTGGTGGATTGTTTTTCTTTACCAATATATACTGTCCTCATCTCTAGTGGCTAATTTTGTCTTAAAGCACCCTTTAAGACAAGCTATCACTGCTCACTTTTGTATTCTGTTTGCATGGAATAAGATTATTTGCATTCAAAATTATTATAGAAATGTACATAATAATTTCTGCCATTTTGTCATTTTTCTAATGTTTGATGGTTTTTCTAATAGACTATCTATTCTTCTTGTTATGTATGTAGGATTCCTTTAAGAATCTTGTGCAATGCTGATGAAGAGGTTATGAATTTCTTTATGATTACCCTGGAAGAGCTGTATTTCTCCTTCGATTCTGAAGCATAGCTATGCTGGATATTGTAATCTAGACTGGCAGTTATTTTTCTTCAGGTTTTGAAATACATCACTTCATGTTCTCCTGGTCTTTAAGGTTTTCACAAAGAAGTTTGTAGTTATTTTGACAGGTTT